GACCAGTACGAGAGAGGAAGGCCCTGGAGGAGATGGATTGACACAGTGACTGTGCTAATGAGGTCAGTTATGTTTGAGATGGTACGTTTGGCTCAGGATGAGGCAGAGTTCAGAGCCATTGCTTGTAGGGTCACGATGAGTTGTAGTAGACTCCACAACACATAACAATAACAACAACAATATTGGGAAAGTAGATGCTTTGACCTGCTTAGATAGCCATGAGTATGTGACCGTATTTCCCGGAAACTCTATAAACTGTAGATAATAATACCTGCACACATACAAGCGATGGGTGGATCAGATAAACTAATTTAGTGAAAGAATTCTATAAACTCTAACGTGTTATTATAATAAGGTATTATTGGCCAGGAGGCCTGTAAAACTAGTTCAGTAAGGCATAAAAGGGTCTTGGTGTCAAAGTGCTTAAAATGAAGCAGCAAATGAAACCTTAGGTTAATTTTATGAGAAAGTAGTTGGGATTCTGATTTAATTTGGACTTTAAAGTTATTACTGGATAAGTGAATTCTATAATGTTGCAGTTGTTATTATGTGCCATCGAGTTGCCTGCCACACATAGCGACCTTATATATAATAGTCTGAAAGCTGCCCTATCCACTTCAGAAATAGCAGGCCTTCAAAATCCTATGTACAATAGAGCATACTTAGAGTAGACTAGCAGATATGATACCTGAGGCTGAGATCTCAGATTTGGAAACACAAATGAAGAGGAACATTTGTAAGCAGACACTAATGCTTGGACATGGAATGGGAGAAGCACGTATGTACGAAACTAGACATCATTAAGAAAGAATTGGAATAATTCTATAATTCCATTAAAAGGTATATGAAGAGTCCCATGCTGCTCTTTGTATCTACCACTAAAACCCAGCTGTAACTAACTAGGTCAATAAAATTAAAACACAAGGAAAAGATATTAATGTAGAATTGTCAATATAAGGACATCAACAGTATTACTATAAGTTGCCACTATTTCATTTAAAAAAATCCAGCATATACACACAAAAATTCTATATCCCAATCTTAAAGAACAGACCTCTTAAGGAAAGATATTTAAGGAACTTACACCAACACTACGGATTAAGACATGTCTCAATATGCATTGTTCTTACTTTCTCTTAAGGCTAAGGACTAATGAGAGCTTTATTACAGGCAAGAACAGTTCTTTGACTTGCCCTTTGAGAATAACTAGAAGACGAATAATAAAGGTGCTTCTACCTCAGCATTTGGGATTTCTGATCCGTTCATCTGTATTTTACTGACAAATTCCACCAACAACGTCATTTTGATAAAACTGGACGGAGCGTTAACTTTCTCATCATTTTTATCAGTGGATGAGTTTTAATATTTCCTTCTTTGCAGGATACTGCAATATCCTGGGTAGTTTAAAGAGCATTTGACTCTCTATCAAAGTCTTTCTCTTGAGGAAAATAAAAGATCTTTACCCATTATTCCTACTGGAGCAGCCCATACATTAAGACCGACTTTAAACTAGAGCAGGACATCAGGGAGAACACTTCTACTCTGACACTTCTGGGGTCACCAGGAGCCAGCGTCGATTTGATGGCAACTTGATAATGAACCCTCCGCCCTACTGTGATATCATCCTCAATTATATTGGATCCATCCCACCGTGGAACATGCAGTTATTTATCCTCACTGGATTTGCTTTTCTTACCCACCCATGTTTCTGTCAGCCCCACCATCTCTGGATTTCCTGCTTCTGAAGACAGAAAAAGGTTCATAGGAATGACAAAGTAAATAAGGAGGACATCAGATTATTTTGGTGGGTGAAAAGTTTCCTTTCTCCTTTAATATCAAGCAGTAGGGACATATATGTATATAAACAATAATGTTTTCATATTTAAAGTTATTTTATACCACAAACTTATCACTCAGAAATCTAAAGGTCACTGATTAACCTCTATGGTGTCTGCGCTATCACTGAGAATGTGTAATTTATCTGTGAAGAACAAAGTGATTGATTTGCCCAGTTTTCAGATACACTTTTAATATATGTTATTAGCTTTCTAGAAATGAAGGCTTAATTTACATATAAAACAGTAGATTTTGAAGTATTCAGCTTGATGACTTTCAGCAATTGTAAAACCACCCAAAATTATATGTGGAACATTTCTATTACTTTAGAACATTCCTTTAATATTTTCCAGTCATCCTATAATCCCTGTCAAAGATAGTAAGTTTCAGTGCCTAACAAAATGGGTTAATGTTTCCTATTTGTAGAAGTTAGATAATATATTCTTTCTGTCAGTCTGTTTTCTTTCAACATAAAATTTAAGATTCATCCAATTTGTGGGAGGTCTCAGTTCAAGTCCATTTGATTGCTAATAAAATAATTTGTCTATCCCTCTAGTCTGTAGAAAACATAATGACTTCTTACAAATCCACAGTAACAACAACAACAAAAAGCATCAAATGACTCAAACTATTGTTATTTTGAATAAGGTTGCTATAATGTGTGTATGTTTATGTATAAACATAGACCTTTTTTTCTTTTTTTTTTTTAATCTTTATTTCTTTTGAAGTAGATACCCTAGTGGAATTGTTAGGATAGATTTAGGTTCTTTATAAGAAACTGCCAGGATCATACCATACAATGGCTGTACCATTTTACACTTCCACCAGTAATGCATGATGATTCGATTTGCTCTATGTCATGTCTACTGTTAAGTGCTGTCCAGTCATAGATGACTCATAGCAACCCTATGAACAAAAGACCTGAACACTTGTATAACTCTCATAGTTTCTCCAAGTCCATTGGGTTTCCGGAGGCAAGCGATTTTGGAAGTGGATGCCACTACTGCTTCAGGGCTTGTTTAATCTGGGAGCTCCACCAAACACTGTCTGCCATGTGTAACCATTACCACATTTGTCACATCACTGTCACAGTGTTCAGCATCACAGCAACCATGAGTTACCTCTACACAGCAAATGGACAGACCAGTGCTATACTGTTTAGAAGAATGTTTGACCAAGAACAACTAAAACCAGCCTGAGGGCCGCAGACTAAAATCATCCACCTTTGGCTTGGTAGTATCACTTTCTGTCCACTAGGCCAACCGAGCTCTATGTCGTTGTTGTTGTTGTTGTTAAGTGTTGTTGAGTCGTAGATGACTCATAGTGACCCTATGAATGAAAGACCTGAACACTTGTATAACTGTCATATATCCTCTGTACATTTCATACTATTAATCTTTACAATTTCAGCTTTTCTAACAGTGTGAAGTGGTATCTCATTGAGATTTTAATTTGCCTTTTCCTGTAGGTGAATGGTTTCCTGGAAGCAGGAGTGGCATCTACTTTCTAAACAACATGCCTCTGGAAACTCTATGAACTTTGATAAATGACGATAGTTATAGAAAAGCTTCAGGCCTTTTGTTCATAAGGTCTTCATGCTTGACTCCATGGCAAGCAACAACAACAACAACAAAGAGTGTGAAGTAGTATCTCATTGGGATTTTCATTTGCATTTCCCTGCTGTCGAATAGCTTCAACTATTTTTCCTGAATAGTTCCAACTATTTTTCCTTTACTCGTTGACTATTAGGGAGCTCTGGCAATGTGGTCTGTGGGGTGTTGCACTGCTAATCCAGTGGTGGAACCTCTTTGGTAATTCAAATCCACTGATGGTTCTGAGGGAAGAAGATGAGGGATCCCTCCTGTGTGATTCTCGGCCTCTGAGAACCTGCTGGAAGATCAGCCTTGAGTTGAGTCCAACTCAATGGCAGTTGAGTTTAAGGAATTTTTAAATTGACTGTATACCCTTTCTTGTGAAGTGTCCAGGTCATTTGCTATTTTTATTGGATGTGTTTGCCTTTTCCCATGTTGCTGTGTAAGTCATTTGTATTTTCTGGATTTGAGACCTTTGCCAGATAGAAGATTTGAGAATGTTGTTGTTGGGTGCTATCAAGTATGACTCACAAAGGCTCTATGAACAGCGGATCTGAACCCTGTCCTATCCTGTGCCATCCTCCTTATTTCTGATTCATTTGAGAATATTTTATTCGAGAGTAGCTTTTCTCACCTGTGGTTTGCTCATTCGTTTTCAAACGGTTCTTTGCTTAAATTTTTGAGATGAAGGATCTGATTGGCATTTGCCAGGGATTTTTCTAGTCTCAGTTACCAGCTATGGAACATATTACTTTCTAATGGTGTTATTTGTATAATATCCAGGCTAGGGGAATGCGCACAGCCACTCATATATGTGATTTGTTGTGGTTTTTTTTTTCTTTTAATTTCATTATTTTTTGTGTGTACCATCAAATCAGATCTTACTGGTACAGGAGGAGATTGTTCCTCCTTCCCTGGCAGAGCATCTGGTGGATTTGAACCATGTACCTTTGTGATTGCAGTTGCAGCTTCTTGCCAGTAGGCCACCAGAGCTCGCCACTCAAATGTTTTTAAAGTTCTATGGACAAGGTAAATTTTGTTGCCTTTGTAGACCAGATGTCAAACTGAATGGCTTGTTACTCAAAGAAGCTCTATTCAACTTGCTCACTTTTTAGTTATCAGCACCTTTTACATGGATGTAATCTTGATGTGGAAATATCTTTTCATTAGCATGTATTTTCAAATTACTGGATAGGAATCCCCACCACATAAAAAGTGACTAGAACTTGCAAGCCTGTTGTCTCAGCTAAGCTCCTTCTACTTTCTCCCAAACGCTGAGATAGAGATGCAAACCATGAGGATTGCGTCGGCAGCATCACTTAAAAAGATATGAATGAAGTCAGAAAACATTATCACCATCAGTCCCAAATCCGTTCTGGACTGTAGGACTCTTTTGGAAATCTTAAAACAAAGCCTCTGATTGGGCATTTGGAACAGGCTGAATGAATGAAGTCAATCTACAGTTCCATGATAAATACTAGAAATGGGAAGAACCTTTTGAAAACACAGTTTACACATGGAAAAAGAAAACTGAGAAGAAGCCTCAGTCAGATATAAAATAGTGTTGCTTACTGTTCGCGGCAAGCTCGGGCTGCCTGGGTCCAGGTGCGCCTCGGCTCCGTGGTCAAGGTGTGGCAGTAACCAGAGTGATGCAGCCACCCCGCTGGGCAGGACCTGTCTTCCAGCTTCTGCAAAGCAGGGTCCGTGTCCACATCAGAATGGTGGTGACAATTCATAGTCTGCCCTCAACACAAAGAGTCCTATCTGTGCCCACCTCCAAGAGTAATTGTGGTCACCAGGAATAAGGTCTGTCATAGTCCCAATTTTTTAACTAGAGAAGAACAATGGTTTCTTAAGAAGACACTTCCAAGCTCAGTAATGGTGTGGGTTGGTTTTATTATTATTATTATGTGTGTGTGTGTACGGTCAAATGGGATCTGACTGGTACTGGAGGAGACTGTCCCTCCTTCTCCAGCAGAGCATCTGGTGTATTTGAACTGCTCTCCTCTGGAATTCCAGAGCAGCTTCTTGTCACTAGGCCACCAGAGCTACCTTATCATGTTGTGTTGTGTTGTTTTTTTTTTTTAAATGTAATATTTCTATTTTATATCCTGACATTAGCATAATTTTAAAAGCAAGCAAAGGGCAAAAAAATGTAGAACAGAATTTCAAATTCTCAGAGAATTATGATTTCTGGAGCCAGGAAAGCAGACTGGACTTCGAAAACTAGTGCCCTTAGAAAAATCTTTAAATCTTAAATAAAAAAAGAGGCAGGAAAGCCTTTTTCAAACTAAATTTTTTTTTTAGTGTCATTAGCAAGAAACATCTATGTGGGACCAACTCACAAGGCAATAGAAAGTGTCATCAATGCCACTGAACTGCCCAAGTGACAACTGTTGCACTAGTGTGTCCTCTGCTGTGTATATTTTCAAAAGCAATAGCAACAACATGAAATTTCATTTAAAAGTACTAGGTAAGCCTCCTCTGAAACTCTGTTGATTTGACGAATATATTTTAAGATTGTTAAAAAGCTAGTTTCGGCTATTTCCCCCACTATATCCTCAGAGAGTAAAAGGGGAATGTGGAGGTGGGATGAGCTGACAGGATGTACTGGGCTGTTTCCTGTCTTACTTTCCCCTAGTGCACCCTGCTGGAAGAGATAGTTGGCTCTCTATCTGTACCCCACCTTGGCTTCAGGGATCCAGATTTGCCAGGCAATCCCATTGCACTGATACAGCTTTTGGAGGTTTTCTTCAAAATAGAAAAGTTCTTTTAACTCCAGAGTGCAGTTCTTTGGAAATGAGGGTACCTGGGCCTAAGGGAAAGAAAGGCAATTTAGAATTGACACAAATGCATGTTGACTGCACACGTATCTCCTTAGAGTCTTCACCTGTCCCTAGGCACCGTGCTGAGTAAACTGCCTCCAACAATTGGCAGCTATTCCGTGTGTTTATGGGCCAGCCAACAGCTCATTGTGAGGTGAGCGGGAACTAAACAGATTTCCATACCTGTCTGGAGAAGTGTGAGTTGCTTGTGGATTCCCCATTATCTGCTTGTGGCAGTTCTGAGGTTTTCCTTGTCCCCTGAGGCCCGCTCGTGATGGTGAGTTTGACCTTCTGTTTGTGTGCTGAGGAACTGTCATCCTCCAGTTTCAGAGAAACCATCCCATGATACTTGAGAAAACCAACCCAAAGCAACAATAAGGAAAAACAAATACCAAGATTGTGAGTGAAACAATCTGTTGCAAATAACGGCAAATCTCAAATTGGATCAAAGCAAAATGAAAGGTTTTCTTTCTGAGTACTGAGTCCTCAGAAAATTTTTCAGAACCCAATTTTGGAAGAAATATGTAAATCTGAGAGAAATGCAATTGTTTTTATAAATGTTATGCATCATGTACAAATAGGACAAATAGCAATATATTCAAACTGTGCTTACGTTATAGATGATGTCTGTTCCATTTCTAAAGACAGAGGAAGGGTGGATCTGAAATCAAGAGGGAAAAAATTTTGATTAGCTTTTCTTTTAGTGGTAAGATTGAGTTGACTTGAGAATTGTTGTTGTCATTGTTGTGTGTCCATAAGTCTGAACCGCCTCATAACTGACCCTCCAGGAAGTTTCAGAGGCAGTGAACTGCCCAGGAGGATATTGCCAATCTTTCTCCCATGGGGCAGTTAGTGGATTCAAACCATGTTTATTTGGTTTGGCAATACAGTTCCTTACCATGAGGCTACCAGATCTTCCTTGAATAATAGGTAGGGACCTACCAGTAAAATCTTGTCAAGACCTTACATTTTTTTTTTTTTACATATATCCTTATCAAGATTCCCCATGTCCAAATCACTGGAATTTGATTTTCATTCTAGGTCTAGTATCACAGACTACCAATGCTAGTTTCTTAGCTAACAACCTCCTCAAAAAAACAAACCTGGTGCAATAGAGTTGATTATAACTCATAGTGGCCCTATAGGAAAAAGTGAAACCACCAGATAGTTTCTAAAGTCTTTATGCAAGCCGACTGCCACAGCTTTCTGCCATGAAATGGCTGGTTTCCCAATCAGCAGGTAGATTTGAACTACTGGGCTTTCAGAAAGCAGTCAACAACAAACATTTGTGCCACCATGGCTCCCATTTACACGACATTCGTACTTTTTCTTCTTTTTCATTCGTGGTTAATCCACAGAATGGACTCATGGGCACAATGGTTAAGGGGCTGTTAATGGAAAAGTTTATCCCCAGCAGATACTCTCTGGGAGGAATATGTGACACAGCCTTCCTACAGCCTCGGAGATCCAGGAACCAGTATTATTCTCTTCTATAAAGGATCTATGAGTTCGGATCAGTTTGACAGCATTGGGGTTTACAGTACACAGAAGTACAAGAAAACACATACATACACTCAAACACGGACATACATAAGCACACATACACGTGTACACACAGGTATGGGTATGTATTCACATTCACCCACATATGCACACATCCACAGAGTCCTAGGTCCACCTTCAAGGAAGCGCAACCAGGGCGCTCCTTAGAGGCAAGGATGGTGCAACTTTGTCGCACACTTTGAGCCTGTTGTCAGAAGGAGCTAGTCCTTGGGAAAAAGGTAATCATGCTGGGAAAGGTAGACTATCGGTGAGAGAGAGACAGACCCTCGGAGATGAGGGCACAGCGACACAGTGGCTGCAACAGTGGACTCAAGTGCGCTGGTGGTTGTGAGCACAGTGGAGGTTGGGAGAAGTTGGGCATCTGTTGTTCACAGAGTCATCTTAAGTCACAACAGACTCAATAGCATCTAACAACAACAACAACATACACACACTCACACACCTATGCAATGTACATCCACGTGCACACCCATATAGATACATGGGCACACAAAAAACACACATTCAGGAGCCTTGCTGAACTAGAATGCTACGTTAAGAAAGTCCACGTCATTGCTTTCACATCTAAGCGGGTCACCTAGCCTCACTCTAACCCAGAGTTAATGGTCATTCCTTGTCTGTCTTGGTTAGAAAGGGAATCAAAGGAGAAATCGTATGTGTGAATCACCACGTGCATCATCTCAATGCATAAAATTAAAGTGGGGCAAACACTCCGCTCTGAGTATACAAAAGGTACTGCTTTAGTGTAAAGGAACCACAGCCACCACTTGCTGTAAGATTCAAAGAGCCTCATCTGTGTTTCAGAGAAAATTTTCTTTCAACTTGTGCTGAGCACACCAGCTGCACCAAGAGTCCCCACTGTACCATCAGTGGAGTTGGAGGGCTTGATGAGGGCACCGTCAGAGAGCAGGACACTAACATGACTGCCTATAAATACTCCTGTGATGTTTCAGCAGCAATACATTCATTATTTTAATAAAAATATTCCTGCATTTACAACAAAACCTTTTTTTTCATAACTGCAACTTACATATATCAATAGGTCTATAAAAGTAAAACTCTCTGGTGGCCTAGTGGCAAGAAGCTGAGCTGCAATCCCAAAGGTACATGGTTCGAGGCCACCAGCTACTCCGTGAAAGGATGGGCAATCTCCTCCCATGTAAATAACTGGTCTGAAAACCTGCCAAAGGGTCAGCTCTGGGTCGGTTCTGACTCTATGGTACACAACAACAACGTGTTTTGACATTATTTGATTATAATGATGCTTCAAATTCCATTTTGTCTGCACAGTGGGGTGTCATTATAGCAGCTGATTGTCAAATTTTGTAATGTTTCAGGCTACAAAAGGGGGTGATATTGTGAAGATCTTTTTGAGAATGAAGCATTAAGGAGAAAAAAGAATAATATCTAAAAAGACTTCTGCTCAGTTATTAATGTGATGATAATGTAAATTCAGTGTAAGAAGATTTTACAATTTTGTTTTCAGTATTATAATCTAAGAACAATCATATTTAAGTAGCATTATATTTTTAAATATCTTTCTGATCGATTCTGTGACTGGAGCGGTGGGAATAAGTGTGTTTGAGATGGCTAGATTGGCACAGGATAGAGCAGCATTTAGAGCTCTTGTACATAGGGTCGCTATGAGTCACAAACGACTCGATGGCACATAACAACACCACCACCACCAATTACTCTAGGACTATAATCAATAATAATCATTACTAAGGCTTCTAGGTGGTGTGGTAGGGGAGAAGGCCTATGGTTGGGGAATTGATGTCATGGGTTTCTATGCTGGGTGACATCAATCCTGATGACATCACTGGGCCCCATTCTTACTGTTTTGCCATTCCCACGGGGCCTCAGCCTCATTCGAGAAGGATCTATAGAATCAAATCTCTGTGGAGTGTCTCCTCTGGTGACCTCTAGCCTTTTGGAAGCTGGACGGGGTCTTCTTTCCAGATGAAAGGAACCAGAAGTGGTGGGGGAGGAAGACCCTGGGGACAGTGGCCGCCAAATGCCCTTCTCGCGCCGGTTGTGCTTGCTTTGGTTGAAGGGATATGAGCGATGGCATTGTCCTGGAGGCAGGCAAGATGGCAGGCGGTCAGTTCATTTTACACAAACAGCTAAGTGATCGCATTGACACGGCCCCCGGAGCAGCTTGCCATTAAACAGAGATGGATGGTTTTCCCACCAGATGCTGCCTGGCTGCCATTTGCCAGCCAAGTCCTTTATTTCATCAGTTTTCCTCTGGGAAAGTTATGCCCTTCTGCACATCTAAGGGGTGATTCTAAAGTCACGAAATTGATTTTGCAAACCACAGACTCAAATCAGTGTCACAATTTTAGAATCATGTCGCTTGCTGGGGAAAGAGCCTTTTGCCTCTTCCCCTGAGGACACCTGTGTCAACTTTACAAGGCACTGATCAGGTCTCATTCCACCCACCCTGGGGACAAGCCAGCCCTTCCCTGATTCCCAGAGCGAGGAGCTGGAATTGTTTAAAGACGTCAAGGAGACCAAGCAGCACTTTTTAAAATGGGCTTTCAACTGATGCAGAACAAAGACCAGATACACCTTAAAGGAAGTGCTGGTGGTGTGAACCTAGGCAATGACTATTCCTGGGAAGGTAGACGTGTGTGTGTGTGTGTGTGTGTGTGTGTGTGAGAGAGAGAGAGAGAGAAGGGGAAGAGAGAGAGAGCATGCGCGCGAGCTCTCTCTAAGGTTAGAACGCTCCTCTGGAATGTCATACTTCATATGTGAAATGCACACTCTATGTATTCCATGCTCTGCATGTGAGCCAAAGTCTCTGCTGAAAAAAATTAATCCAGGCAGGAAAGGTGGGTGGTGGGAGAGACGTAGAAACGTGAATATTATAAAGGCAAGGGAAGAGTGCTAATTTTTATTATAGGGCGAGAAAGAAAAAAGGTGGTAATAGATTGCAGGTAAGGAGCAAATATGGACCCCAGGGGTGGGACAGGTGTGAAGACAGAGCCATTAAGAGTAGGCAGGAACAGTGTCAAAGGTAACCAGATAAATAAGCTGGGGGTGTTTGACAGGGGAGAAACCCTCTATTTGGGCATCAGGCCTCAGGCTGACCTTTGCTGGTACAGTTCATAGGTTGTTCCTCAGCCCGTCCTATGCAAGACCCACCCTGACTCTGGGCCCCAAGTCCTTCATTCACATTCTCCAGCTGCTGCCCAAGCCCCCAAGCCAGCTGTGGCTTTCACATCTCTTTTCCTCCAATTCCTCTCTTAGACTTTTCCTGGTCACATTGCAGAGGGAGCTTGGTTATTAGGTACTGAGAGAGCTCTCTTTAACAGAGGAAGATAATTACAGCCCTCCTGACTCATGGGGGGTGAAGAGGGGGGAGATAATTGTCCCCAACATCGTCTCCCCCTCGGTGAGAACAACAAATGGAGAGGCAACCACCCGCCCCCTCCCCCAAGCAAAACACAACTACAAGCTGACTTGTTGCTTTTCTTGAGAGAGAGTTCTTAGCGGGAGGAAAACCCCATGAAGCGGAAAGCTGAATAAAGGGTCCACATCATGACTGAGGTGGCTTTCTTGACAAGAAATTAAGCATTTTGATTTGAAGGCATTATCAAGCTCCTTGGCTCTTGAAAGCGAGCTGCCCCAGCGCCAGGACCGCTCCTGATTTCAAGATGAGGATCAAAAGAATACCTCCTTTTGAGTCCAAAATTTTCACTGCAGCTTTTGTCTTTGTGCCAAGAACTGCATTCACAGGGGAGTTCAGAATTACTTCAAAGACCTCATCATCTTCCTCTAATCCGTCATAGGTAATTGCTATATTCCACATCTTCGTTGACATTCCTACAAGAAGTAAACATTTTAATTACTCTTTAATTGCTATTTCAATCACCTAGGTGTCAGAGAAATATATTAATTAACATGTCTACAGCTAGCCTGCTGTAGCCTGAGTGAGCTATTGTACAGCAACCAACCGCCCGAGGTCCCGCTGTTCCCCCAAATAATATTAAAAGACCGCATTTGTTCCCGGACAATGATGGTTCCGTTTAAATGCAAACACTGTAACAAAAAAGTACGCTGCATTATGCAAAGGATGAAAAGGGAGGAGGGGGCTAGCTGATGAGACCAGAGATTTCATTTTTCCAACCCGGGCCTGTCCCTTCTCTTCTTAAGAATAAATAAATAACTGCAATATGAAAACCTTAAGAGTTTAAAAAACGTCTTGGGATGTTGATGCAGACAGGAGTGATTAGTGGATGGCACTTCAAGCTATTCACGGAATTCTTGAAGTGATGGATTTCCAAAGACAGCTACTTCCTTGAGAAACCTTCAGGCCACAAACACTTTTCCTGATTATGTAATAGTAGTTTGATGTACTTTTAAAGGGAATGTATGGATAGAGGCAATTGCAATTCTGGAAATGGACTAAACAACCCTCCTCTCAAGTTATGTCTGCCCCTATTCTTGGAATAGAGCTTTGGAATTCAGTTTACTTGCTGAAAGTGAGGAGGACTTGAAGCACTTGTTGCAGAAAATCAAAGAATACAGTCTTCACTACGGATTGCATCTCAATGTCAAGAAGACAAAGACACTTACCATGGAACCGAAAGGCAACATCATAATAGATGGAGATTGAAACTGTCAACAACTTCACCTTACTTGGCTCCACAATTAAGCCCTTGGCACAAGCAGTCAGGAAATTAGGACACAATTGCACTGAGAAAGTCTGCAGTTAAGGACCTCTACAAATTACTGAGGTGTAATGATGTCAGTTTGAGGACAAAGGTGCATCTAATTCAGGCCCAGTCTTGCCAATCATTTGCTATGCATCTGAGAGGAAATAATAAATAAGGATGACTTAGGAATTGATGCTTTTGAGCTGTGGTGTTAGAGAAAAGCACTGAACATCCCATGGATGGCCAAAAGAACAAACAAATATGTCTTCGAGAAAGAGTAGCCAAGAGTGCTCTTTGCAGGCAAAGATGATAAAGCTTCACCTCACATACTTCAGGCATGTGGCTGAGAAGAGGTATTCCTTGGAGAAGGATATGATGCTCAGAAAGGTGGAGAGTCACAGAAGGAGAGGAAAATCCTAGATCAGGTGGGTTGACATGGTGACTGTCACAACAGGCTCTAGTGTGTCAGGAAGTATGAGAATAGCATAGAATAGGACAGGGTCATTCATTCATAGGGTCATTCATAGGGTCACTCTGGCTTGTATTGGACTCGACAGCATCTAACAACAACAACTATTCATGGAGTCATAGTCAAGCTTGATTCCCTGTAATTTTGGGAACTTAATCCCTAACAGTTTTGATATCACACACACTCCCCCAGCTAACACAGAAGCCAAACAACCTTGGACCAAACCAAATCCCAGAACCACTACATTGTGAGCTGGAAGAGGCCTCCATGCTGGCCTGCTCCCATCATCCACCACGAGCTGGACTGCAGGACGTCCTCCCGAGCCGAGTTTATGCGGGACAGAGGTGATGGAGGAATACTGTTTGGTGGAGAAAGAAGGATCATTTTCAAAAGGGAGTGGGGGAGTTAATAGACAATGGTTTGACCTTTTAGAGCTATGTTTTGACAACCTTACTATTTCATTTAGTCATTGTTTACACATGCTTTTACTCCCAGGTACTCCTATATACAAACCTTTACAAAGCCACGCCAAACTGGCTGCTATTAAGTCAATTCTAACTGGTGGTGTTCATGCATATCAGGGTAGGATTATGCTCCTAGGACCTTCAAGGGTGTGACCTTTCAGAAGCATATCACCAGGCTTTTCTCTTGAGGAACCCCTGGGTGTGTTAAACTGCCAACATTCCCCTTTAGGAACCCAGGGTTTTACCATTTGCTCCAAGCAGGCACTCCACAGAGCCATTTAAGCAATCTTTTTCTCCTGAATGAAAGTCTCCTCCCATGTTATTCACAGCCTCAGAAACCCACCAGCAGGTCAGCAAGGAGTTGGCTCCAACTGCTGGTCAATGCGTTGAGTTGTGTTTCTTCTAAACATTCACGTCCTTTGTTGTTGTTTTTTGTTGGGTTTTTTTGTTTTTTTGGTTTTTGCATTCACCTTGTGTGGCTGCATGCATCTCAGCTTTGCTTTTTGATGGCCTCTTCCACCAAAGTACGCCTCACATGGATCTTATCACCCCACCAGGATCTCCATCAGGATCCCCACCAGAATCCACTCGGAAAGGTGCACCTGTTCTCTGGCCCTACTCTTGCCTGCACTTAGATAAACGTTGGAATAGTAACGTTCACAGCTAATTTGTTAAACTTTCAGTATCCAGTGACTTCTTAAAGCAATTACTTCCACAACATTTGCAATAACAGAAGTTGCAATTATATTAATACAGTCTGCTTCCTTAACGATCTAGCCTTGAAGACTCTCTGTTCAAAGGGGTTGACATGAGCCAGAATTGGCTCAATTGCCATCCGAATGCAATTCTCATTGCCATCAAACTGGAACCAGCTCATCTCAGATCTTCTGCTGGTTTCTGAGGCTATAAATTGCATGGGAAGAGATTGTCCATCTTTCTCCTTCTGAGCCACGGGCATTTTCAAACGGTCAGAGAGGCCTGGCTTTGGGTTAGCAGCACAACTCTCTACAGACCACAAGTCCTAGCTCAGTGGTGATGGCTTATAAATGACCACCTGTCAAAAGAGATGGTCAGTAAAATTAAATCGTTGCCAATGGTAGATTCTGACTCACAGGAACTCCAGGCACATCAGATAGAATGCATTCCTTGGAGGTTTTAACAGCTGACATTTTTTTTAAAAGAAGTAAATTTAAAAATGACCAAGTTTCTCTTTCAAGTGCCTCTGGGTGAACTTGAAATTCTGTCTTTTCACATAGCAATTGAGCATGTTAACTGTTTATACCACTCAGAGATTTCAACATCTATGCGCCAGATGGTAGATGGAGAAAAGATTGAAGTTGTTAGCGATTTCCTTTCGTTTGGATCCACAATCAACACCGATGGCTGTTGTTGTTATGTGCTGTCGAGGCACTTGAGACTCATAGCGACTCTATGTACAACAGCCCTAGAACCCTGCTCTACCCTGTGCCAATCGCACTGCCTCTGACACACCCATCCCCATTACCCCAGTCACTGAATCAATCCACCTCATAGAGGGTCTTCCCCTCTTGCGCCGTCCCTCCCCCCTCCCAAGCATGATGTCCCTCTCCGAGGACCTCCTTACAACATGTCCAAAGTATGTCAGATGAAGCCTCAGAATCCTTGCCTCCAAGGAGCAGCCTGGTTTAACCCTCTCCAGGATGATCTGTTTGTTTTCTTGGCAGTCCATGGTATATTCAATACTCTTCTCCAGCATCACAGCTCAAAGGCATCAATTCTCCTTATATCCTTCCTAGTCATTGTCCAACTCTCTGATGCATAACAAGTGATTGCAAAGACCATAGCCTGTATCAGACACATCACCCTCCCTTCGGTGACATTACCACTAAACTTAAGAGACACTGGTCACAGCATAAGAAATTGTCAGCAGCTGACGTGTTTAGAATTACAGAAGCCAAGAAAGCTTCAGATACAAGCTGTCAGATCAAGGGTTGGACAATGGAAGATAAATGCTGAAGGGAAATTGTAATACTCAAACCAAAACTTTTGTTTTATTGGGCTCTAGGAAGGAGAACTAGATGGTTAAAGGAAATCCACTCGAAGTTTCATTTAAGAGCTTCTGATTTGTTCCCGTCTTCATGTCATTTCACTCTACCAGGTGTGCACACAGGACTATGGGTTTTAGGTTAATGAGATTGAAGGTTAAAACTTTCTTGGTTCTCTTTTCAGCTTCCACTCCTTCTCTCAAGGTGCAAAGTATGTATTAAGACACTGAGATATAACAATTTCAGAAGGCTTGAACTGACCTTCAGTTCCCACAAGACAAAACATGCAGGAGAGAAGACAAAGTGTCATTTTATGCAGCCGTGCCCACCTTACAAAATGAACCAGGCCCTGGATATTTTCCTGCAAAGCAAATTGCTCTACAATCTATCACAAGACATTTTCTCAAGTGTTTTTGTTTTCTTGTTTGATGTTGTTGTTGTTGTTATGTGCCGTCGAGTCGTTTCCGACTCATAGCGACCCTATGCACAACAGCCCTAAACCCTGCTCTATCCTGTGCCAACCGCACCGCCTCTGACACACCCATCCCGATTATCCCAGTCACTGAATCGATACATCTCATAGAGGGTCTTCCCCTCCTGCACTGTCCCTCCCTCCCTCCCAAGCAAGATGTCCCTCTCCAAGCACGTTAGACACAGATGTACTTGTATTTACTTACTCAACTGTATGAAAATGATCAGGTTTTGT